CCTCATCCTCTCCAAAAAAAAAAATATGTAATACAATTTATTGGTATATTAAATTTAATCATACTATAGCAATCGATAAGCAATAACTTTATGAAAAAAAGGGGGAGAGAAGCAACAACAGAATAAGCAAAAATATGAAAAATAAATGAAATGATTGGATGATGGAAAGGAGAGCTGAAGCAAATTGAGGTAACATGATGTGTTTGCAAACGAAACATAGCGATTATGGTTGAATGAAGTTTTCTCCTCTTCTTTCTTGCTCTCTGTGCCGTCAATAAGCCACACTTGAGTGTAAATATTGCAGAAAAGCATGGAATAAAAAAATATGTATGGAGATATGAAGGAGTTGAGAGAAAAATTTATGTCTTCAGAGGGGTTAAAGCGCATTTTACGAATTCTGGAATGAGTTGATAGCTTTGAACTAAATTCGTGGTTTTTAAACTTAGCGAATCAATTTTAAAACGGAATGAGTGCATTTAGAACTGAATGAGTACGTTTAGAACCGAATGGGTGCATTTAAAACTGAATAAGTGCGTTTAAAACTTAATAAGTGCGTTTAGAATTGAATGAGTGCGTTGAGAATTTTAATAAATCAGTTTAGAACTAAATGAGTCAATTTAAAACTGAATAAGTGCGTTTAAAACTGAATAAGTGCGTTTAGAACTAAATGAGTGCTTTTAGAATTAAATGAGTCTGTTTAGAACTGAATGAGTGCGTTTAGAATTTTAATAAATCAGTTTAGAACTAAATGAGTCAATTTAAAACTGAATAAGTGCCTTTTAAAACTGAATAAGTGCGTTTAGAACTAAATGAGAGCGTTTAGAACTGAATGAGAGTGTTCAGAACTGAATGAGTGCGTTTAGAACTGAATGAGTCAAAAAAAGTCAGTTTAAGCACTGAATATGTCGTATTAGAACTTAAGTTTGCCTTTATCAACCTTTATCTTCACTATTTTGCTCTTAATATTATTCCAATCATCCAAAGAACACCTATCAACTCAGCCAAGCAACTTCTCAACCAAAACCAAATAAACTCCCAACCACAACACCCATTCTGTTCTCCTCAGCTGCAAAAATAAATAAGAGAAGTACAAATATTATTTTTTCTGTGTTGTTTTGTTGAAAAGTACCTTCGCTCTCACAACTGCCTCTTCATGGACGTGTCGAGTGTGCTTGAAATGTGAGGAAAAGGAAAACAATGAAAACGGGGTAGAAGAGGAGATGAGCAAGAAAAAAAAATACGACACAGAATGCGGCTCACATAGGAGAATACAGGTGCATTTCTAACCCTAAGGATATGTTTTCTTCAAACATACATCAATTGATGTACGATGGTTGTTGTGCCTTGAAAACACGATCCTTATGGCTTGTTTCACGTTGTTAAGACGCGCAATGGGTTTTAAATAATATTAAAGGCAATAATTTTTTTTCCTGTGCTGGTTAAGCCTTAATCATGATTATTTTGTTCCGATATGTTCTGGCACATTATTGAGACAGTTTATATCCATTCTCACACAATTCATCATCATAAATCTGCTCCCGTAACTTTTCATCTTTCTTGTTCTTTTCAATACTTTTTTCCTCATATTTTGCTTTGATAAATCGTTAATTTATATCCACATACATAACTTTATGGGCACGCCGGGGCATTTGTCTGTTAATGATATGTAAATTTCAATTAACATGTTTTCATCATAATGATTGTTATTTTTTGATGTGTTAAAAGATAATCAAGCCGTTCATCGCCGCATAACTACATGCCCAGTACATTCAGCCTTTAAACTAATGGGATGATGAAAAATATAAAAATAAAAACTTGCAAGAAAACTTTCGCAAATACAAAGCATGTCTTGTCATTTTTATACAAACTTTACAATCAACATCATCACATTTATTTAAGGCTGCTATTTTGCTTACGAAAGTGGGGAGGGGAGGAAGTGAAATAATTTTTTTTTTGGCACTGATTTGGAATGTGATGAAAATTGTCTCGTGTTTACACTTTGTCTTTTGGTGTTGTGCTATATATGGGATGATGTTGAGCAATGTGTGGTGTTGAAAAGCTATGCTGTGTCATAGCTGTAAGCTATTGAAGTTGAGATTGATGAATTGGAAGTGATTTTGTTAGGAAAATAATTGGCAAAATTGTTATTTTTACAAAACTAGTCTTTTGGGGTTATGTAAGTTTATATGTGTGTCAATTGATGTTTTGGGACATAGGAGTGGTGTAGCTAGACTAGTTTGGTCAAAGAATTCAGCAGAATCACTCTTTGGGGCACCATCAAAACATTTTACAAAGGGACAATGGATTTTTTAAGGAAACTTTTCTCAAATGAACCCAGGAACATTTTAGCCAGGCTCGGAAACGAAGAGGTATTTTAAAGGCGGTATTTTGAGGTATTTAGAGGTGTTTGTATGGAAGATGGCGGTATACCGCCTAGTTTCCGAGCCTGGCACTTAAGTGATTTGATTGAGGTCAAGGAATTAGCAAGGATTGAGTTTTTGATTCAATCACTGAATAGCACAGTCCGAATAACACAATCCAAATAGCACAAGTCGGTTAATAGATCAAAAATCTGACACCAAGCTGGTGTGATTCTAGCATGCTTGTGGATTTCAATTGAAGTACTTTGTCAGAGTCATTTCAGCTTAGCGCCTGATTTTTATTCTATTCCTGTGTATCAGGATCGCAGTGGCTTCAGCTCGTCGCAACGTGGAGTAACACACCGCTTGGCTGGAACACTCTCACATTATTATTATCCGACTTGTGCTATTTGGGTTAGAGCAGCTTTATAAACAATTAATAAGTCAGAATGTATTTCTGGGGATCCTTTTCTCAAATGCACTCAGAAACATCTCTTTTGAGTTGATTGACTTCAAAGGCTTACGTTGGATTAGGTTCTAGGTTTAGTCGCTTAATTCCTCCTTCAAAATTGAACGTATTTTCTGATCAACTCTAAATCTAAGCATCATTAAAAACTCAATAAGTACCCCCCTTCCAAAAAAATGCGTTAACCAACCAAAGCTCCCATAAAACCTTCATTACCAGTCTCAATTCTCCTTCATCAAAATATGCATAAATCTTTTTTTTACTTCTGCGAAACGCGCGCGGTGTGAAAGAAATCTTTTCTTTATTTTGAATTAAATTAATATGCTTGGAGAGTCTCTCTCAGTGTTATTTTGTGTGCAATTCTGTGCCTTTTTATTTTCGGCTCTCATAAGTGACTTTTGTGTATTATCTGTTGTTAAACATGCACAACACTTCTTTTATATTTCTTTCACATTCTTCATTTATATTATTTTTGTGTGTTGAAGGCAAAATGTAGGAATGAAAATAAAAAAAAAACGACATTGAAATGCACAGAATACAAAGTTTGTTTAGCAACCTAATTATGTATATAAGCATAAAATGATTAAACTTAATTCAACATGCAAAGGTAGATCAAAAAAAAATATATTGTATGTAAGAAAATAAAAATATCGGCCACAATATGAATTCAGAAGGCTTGCAACAGTTGCACATTTCGTGCTACCAATTTGGTTATTTGCTTACGGTGGTTTTATTTTTTGTACGATAAATCTTCTATAATTTCTTTCTATGCCTGATCTGTATTCTGTCTTCTCCTTTCATTTCTGCTTGCCTTCATTTTCTTTGGAGATACTGGATTATTATGTGTGCCTACCATTTCATGATTACTTTTGCGTTTGAATGAAGAATATTATTCGTATGTATATACATAACAGCAAAGTCAAATGTCAAGTATGGCAAGTATGTGATTTTGTTGTTTCACTTCAAAATACAAAAGCGCACACATGAAAATGGAGGGAAATAAGAAGGAAAACGAGATACAGTTGTAGTTCCGAGTAATGATGTTGACTTCATGTGTGATGTAGGAACATGTTTAAGTATAGTAATTGAAATTAGAGAATTTATGCATTATGTGGATTGACGTTGCAAGGCTGAGGAACTATGGATTTTGCTTTGGGTGTTTATGGCTTTTTGGTATGTGTCTGGAAGTTGTTTAGACAATTGGGGCAAGAGGGTGGTAGTTAAATTTTCATTAGAGCCTGCATCTATGTAGCTTTAGGTACATAGTAGGGGGCAGGGGCGTAGCCAGGATTATTCAAGGAAGCCCCACTGGCTACGCTCAAAAAGGAGGGGGAGGGGGGAAAATCCTTTTATGAAAAAACCCCAAAAATCTCCCTTCGTGCTCATTTTTTTTGTTCTTATCCTCATATTTCTGGCTCCATCTATATGACTCTGTAGCTGCAAGATACCAAATTTTGATTAATGCAGCTCCAATTCTTCTTAATGGAACTCAGAATTTTTTAAAAATTTCCCCAAAGATCCCAGTGACCCCAACCATTCATGCTTTTTTGTCAACTTTCGAGTAAGAAGCTCGAGCAGAAATAAGCCACACTAAAAGAGGCAGTTATTGTAAGATTATTTTCATCATATCAGGCTGTATGTGTGCTACATGTCAGTGGATATAAGTGAATAGGAGTGTGAATTAAATTATCATAATTAATCATTTCTGATGTCATATTTATTTATCAAAAAAACTGTGATGTGAACAATTTAATTATTTTAATTGGATATTAAGGCTGTTTATGATTATGTGTGTCTTAGGGATCGTTTGGATGTTATGGAACTTCTAAGTTTGAATTTTTTAAGATTTTAAAAACTTAAATTTGGTGTAATAAATTTGCAATGAAAAGATTGACTTTACCAATGTAACCTGGAAAGTTACATAACATCCAAACGACCCCCCTTTGGTACCGAAGGAGTCTCATTTTTACGTGTTTTAAAATATAAATATGAATTGCAATATCATACAAAATGAGATAATGAAGAAAAAAATTCATTTCTACATTCATGACTTCATTTATGAATGCAAAGGCATTTCTTTTGCACGATTCCATTTCCATGATTAATAGTAATTTATATTTACAGTGTAAAATATTTCATATTCATTTACTCTCGTCTCTTTCTGTGTTTTTCAGGTGGAAATTTAACATATGAAATTCCAAAAGGCATTGCTGATGATTGTTTTACGGTTGATCCCCTGCGTGGTATTGTAACGACGAAAGGTACATTTGATCGCGAAACAAAAGACCTTTATACGGTGCCAATTTATGTAATGGAATCGATGACATCTCAATTTAAATCTACCGCCGCGAATGGTAATGCTAAATCTGGCAAGCTCTACAAATCACAATTCGATGTAGCAACAATTGTCATTCGTATTACTGACATTAATGATCATGCACCTGAATTTCGTCCGGGCTCATGCTACCCGCTAGCAATACCTGAGAATAGTGAGACGTCTGTGATACATCGAGTCGTTGCAACAGATCTGGATGAAGGGCCTAATGGTGACATTACGTACAGTATTACAGGTAAGAATTTCATCGATTAATTTCCTCATTTTTTTCTGCTCTTTCTCCTTTCATTCCTTCAATTGCTATTAACATTTTTCCGCATTAACGGTTTCTCAAATTCAATTTACATATTTATGTATGTATGTAAAGTTCTTTCTGTCTTTACTCTACGGTGTGTCTCTTGTGGCCCCAAACTGATCAAACATTTTTTTTCTTTTATTTTTCAATTCTTTTCTTAACGTGACATAATATTCTAAGAAATTGTTTTCTCATTCCTCAATCCAGTATACACAATTGATTCTTTCTAGCGCATTATGTGCTGAATTTTTTATGTTACAATGTAACATGTGCTGTTGTGATTTTAGTTTGTCTGGATGGATTGTTGGAGTTTTATTGACTAAAATTGATTAAATTGCAGCTTGAAATTGATTGTCTTGTGCATATTTAAAGAATTGCTCTGAAATGAGGGCATTTAGAGTTTGGATTGTGAGCTTTTCTTTAATACTTAACGTTTTGGATTCATTCAAAGCTTGGAGTTTAGTCACTGTAGCTTTATCAACATTTTATGTCGAACATTATGGCCTTTAGTGAAGGTTTAGCAGCCCTCTATACCAGTTTTTCATGTTCTTTTGAATAGGTTTCATGGATTAGCGTCCCTAGTTGCTATAGCACTGTTATACTTAATAATAATAATAATGTGTGAAGGGCTCAGCCTTTCAGCTGGAGGCACTGCAATTCAAATTAGAACAGAATCTATTGTACCACACCCTTTAGACCTACAGTTTACAGTGGGATCCGAACCACTTGCAAGCTCTGCACATTGCAAAGACACGAGTACGTTAAACTTAGTTAATTCTTGATTTTAAAGAAGCCAAGCATGTATGATCTAGTTTTCCTTAAGCTATTTACCTCTAACCTCGTACTAGTTTTACTTCTGATTATGATTGTACAGAAGAACCTTCTCACAATGATATAAGTTGGTTAATTGAATATAAATCTGGCATCAAGCCAGGAAGACTACAGAATTTGATTCAAATCCAACACCATGCCAGAGTCACGGAGGCTTGTTTCAAGATTTCTGATCGATTAACCAACTTGTGCCATTCGGGAAAATTCTGCCTGCTCATTTGCTGCTGATCAACAATAGCACATCATTCAAAAATGCGCTCCTGATCTTTACCAAACCCATGTTCATCTAAGTTGTCACATACCTTTCCTCTCTAAAAAATCTACGAATAGAGCAATCGCGAAAAAAAACAATTTTTTACCATTTTATTGTCTCCATTTCTTCTCCATCATGACAATTGTTATGTGCTGACGATGAAGTGAAGAAGAAGGAAAGTCTCAAGAAGAAGGCAAAGATTTCATGCAAAAAAGAATAAATTTTATTCACAAAAAAATAAAATATAATAATAAAATGTATAAGGTCCATGAAATATAAACATAAGAGAGTAAAAATATGTGTCAATATGAATGCTTCTGTGTTTCAACACTGCAATCGGCAAGATATTATTATGCAATGATACATTAATAATCCCCTCAGCTCAAAGCTCAACGGGGAAAAATTGTGCTGCATTCACTTCGGTTTTCTTATTCATTTTTTTCTTGCCTTCTTTTTTTTTATAACATTTCAATAACAATTTTTATGTTTAATGAGAAAAACTCTTTTTGTGTTATTTTTTGTTGTTGTATTCTGTATTAATGCTGTATATTTTTTTTGCATTTCTCATTGAACAAATCAACAGGTGGTAATGTTGGCAATAAATTCAGTATTGACATGCATACGGGCGAATTAACATCACGTCCATTAGACAGAGAAACACATTCTCGCTATTTTCTACAAATAACCGCACAGGATCGCGGAACACCCGTTACCTATCAAGGTCAATGTAATATTTCCATCATTGTTGAAGATGAAAATGATAATGATCCTCGCTTTGAAATGGCAAAATATGTTGCAGCGATACCCGAGGACGTGACAATTGGTACATCCGTACTGACAGTTAAAGCTATCGATGCCGACTTGGGAATTAATGCAAGAATCACATATTCACTCGCCAATGAGACTGAATGGCTTTTTAACATTGACAATCGAAGCGGATTGATTACAACAGCCGGGTAAGTTTTCTCTTATTTTATTTTTTTCATTTTCTTAATGTCAAGATTTCTTAACAATAATTTGACCCTTTTGCATATCTCTTCTCTTTTGTGACTTGAGAGAGTTTTTTATTTCACGTTATTTTACCTCTTCTCCGCTGTGATTATGTTGAAGGATATTGCGATACGATTCAATGGAGGTGTCACAATCAATTCACTTTAAAATATGTCTTTTTAGAACTATGAAATATTTAAAATATTTTATATATCATTATCGGAGGTAATGTGTGACTCTTTATCTTAACGAGCATGTTTATGGTCGACTACTTTGTAAATTGTGAGGCTTTTAAGAGCTTGTATTGAGGCTGTTGGGGTTGTGTGATGAAAAATTGACAATATTTTAAGTTTGTGGACTTTTTTGGACATTTAAAATTTTTGACAGACCTCGGAGTGCCTTGAATCACTAGCTAAAGCCTTTATAGTATCCTCATAGCTTTAACAGACTTGTTATAACTTTGATAAAGTAGCTAGAGACTTCACAGACTCCTCGTATCCTTGAAATTCTCATTAAAGCGTTGAAAGACTTCTCTAGTCTTAACAGACTGCTCATAGCCTTATCAGATGAATCATGAACCTGACAGACGTCCACAGACCCTTAACATCCCTCTACAGAACCTTGAAAGACATCCACAGACCCTTGATAGGTTCACAGTTCCTTGAGAGACCTCTACAGACTCCTGGTAGGCTCATAAAGAGCATAAGAAGACTGCTACAGAGCCTTGACGCACTTCTTAATGCTCGGCTGATTCTTTATAGTCTTTACCACCTCTCCGTGACTTGACAGACCCCTCAAAGTCTTCATTGACTTCCTGTCCACTCCCCAAAACCCAGAAAAAAATCAAAAGCACATCATCTCATTTTTCTAAGAATTAATTCACAAACTTACATCCGATCGCAACATAAATCGTAAAATATAATATTTATTTGCACATTCATATGCAAAAAAAAAAAGACTATGAACATCGAGCAGATAAAAAGAGATTTAAATGCATGTACGAATAAATCTCTTGAATATTCCACGTCTTCAACTATCTTTCTCAATGTCGCCAATTGCCATTCAAAATAATAAAAATTGAAGTAACAAAGCAAATAAATGCAGGAATAATAAAAAATAATTTTATTATATGCAAATTGTGTATTTTGGCAATAACTTCTGTTTCCATATAATTTGTAAATGCAGTTTTGATATTTTTTTTTTACTATTGATCTTGAACAATGAATGTGCAGTAGAGGAGGAGGATAAGAATGTATGAACAAGATGAAGATTTTTTAAAATGTACGCATTTGAATTGGAAGCTTCGAATTGTCATTTGAAAATTAAATACACATTTTTTTATTATTTCTTTTGTTGATTATTATTTGATATTATTTGTGTGGAATGTGAGGGGGTCTGGAGATTTAAAATTTGTGGCTTTATTAATTATTATAGATTTTTGGATATTTTTGTCTTTAAAATTCAATTTTGCTGTCAACTTTGAGTAAATTCTAGCTGTTCTTGGTTGAGAAGTTGGGTTCAATTTAAGCTAAGGTAGGGACTGTAGAAGCCACATGCTGCTGTCTTTGTACATGATCAATTTGGAAACATTATTATTGAAATATGAAAAGCCACTGATTATTAGTCAGTTTGAAACCTTATTGCATCCTTAGCTTCAGTATCAAAGCTTAATTGTCTAAGATTCATTGCAACTCTCAAAGAAGCAACTCTCAAAAATCAGCATAGCTTGATCAAGGAGCTACTGGCAGTACAAGAAAGGTTCTGTAGACAGCGAATTGACTCGGCTATCTCAGGACACAGCTTGGTCCTAGTAATGTCGTGTACATTGTGTGAATCCCTCTCCTATCGACAATACTTTATAAAGTGGATTGAGAGATGATTCTCTGGTGGGAATTGAACCCACATACTCACAAAAGAGTGATTCAGATTTACGGTCTGTTGCCTAACCACTCAGCCACAGAGACCTTACTCTCGCACTAGCAGATTCGCCTATATATGGGTTGATACCTCAAATTTCACTCTGCTTTGACACCACAGTCTCCAGTATTTTATAAAAATAAGATATTTTCATTCAGTCTCAGATTTATCCTTAAGCTTCTTCAATACCTCCTTAGCTACAATTCTAAAACCTTCTTCAGCATTCCTTATAATCAAAAAATTTAAGCAAATGTAAATCCAAATAAAAAATGTCCATTGCAGTTCCCAAAAAAAAGAAGACACAAAATTCTTGATAAAGGTTATTGGTTATTGTTGTCTAGATATCTTCAATGGCTTCTTCTCTAAAAAGCAGCATTCATACATAAGAACTGAATCTGGACGAAAAGAAGAAGATGAAGAGGAAAAGAGCATATAAATATTATTATTTTTTATTGAATTGTGGTTTTTATCATTTATGCGCCTCGATCGGGATCAATGAAATGAAATGAAAGTTAATATTTCGTTACGAATGTGAGGCCGCAGAACGACGGAAGAAGAAGTCCAAAATATGTGTATCAATATTAAATAGAAAGATTGCATTTCATGCATCAATTTCTTTTAACACTTTCCCTCGTCACACACAACGGGCTTGTTTTCGGCGACATGAATTTTTATTTTTTTTTGGCTACTTCTTTTCCATTTAAAAACAGAGTCTGCTCTTTTTTTTATTCATATTCATTAATGGCTTCATATCACGGCTCAGGTTTATTGCACTTTTTGTTCTCAAAAGTCTTAATTCCATGTTTTTCCGTTCAGTGGAAAAAAAAGGTATAAACAACATTGGCGAAATGGCTGAAGACGGAGATGGAAGAGATGGAAGAAATTATAAGGAAAAGAGAGTTTGTGTCTGTACAACAGCCAAATTTAATAATAATTCAATATTTTTTTTTATTCTTTTTTTTCTTGTTTTTAACTTTTCTACCAATTCATAATTTATTCGTCTTATATTATTGGCTTGGCTGTTGTTAATGTTGTAAGATTTTTCTGCTCTTCATCGAATGAATAATTTTTTGGAAGCTGGATTTTTGAGATTTAGGGTGGCTGATTAGCAATGCAGTTTGGGTTGATGCTGGCTTTTGTTGAGTTTCTTTCAGTACATTCAATTTAATTGCTTATTAAGGCTTATATTTTGATAATAAATAATAGGAACTATCTTAAGCATTGGCGTTGGACCAAGGTAGCCCAAATCTGGAGCCAAGTTAGTCTCACAACAGCCTCTATGCTAGATCAATCACTTTATTAGTGACAACAAACATTTCGACTCACAACTTTATTCTTTGAGGTCGCATAAAGTGTCAAGCTGGCATGACCCTGGCATGAAACTGGCTTCGATTTAAGTCCAGCACCATGCCAGAGTCACACCGGTTTGGTATCTCAAAATAACTTGATCTACCTGACTGCTCAGGTCCGACAAGAGCTGCTGGGTTGTTCAGTGCATCTCAAACTACACTATCCCGAGTAGCACGAGACTCTGGCATAGTGCTGGATTTAAATCGATGCCAGGGTCATGCCAGCTTGGCACCGGATTTCTGATCGATTAACCAACTTGTGCCATTCGAGATAGCGTACTTTGAAAAGCACTGAACAACTCATCAGCTGTTATCGTACCTGAGTAGTCAGGTAGATCAAGTTTTTATTCTTCGACTTCAAATGCGCATTCAAGCCACCCCCAAAATAAAAAATCCAAAACTTTCTTACCACAACTTTATTTTCATATCGAAACAAAAAACGCATGTAAATCAAAATAAATGCATTTTTAAAAGAAAACTGAAAACAAGACTAAGAAGAAGTAAAACGGAATGAAGAGATATGATATGATATGATATGATATGGGATTACAACATTACACATTCTATAATCGAGAAATGAGATTGAGAAAACAAGGACATTGCTTTTTTTTATGCATCACTTGGCAGACATCACAAGATATATTTATTTTCTCGTTCAATACTTCACTCTTTTTGTTGTTTCATATTTCGTTTGTGTCTGATTTCATTCCTTCAGCTCAATCGTCTGCAAATTGAGTGTAATATTTATGCAAAACAATGGGATTATGTTGTTATCTGGTTCTTATGGAGCTTTTGAATGACTTCTTGCCTTTATTTCTGCGGATAAGAAGGGCATTTGATTTTGATGTTCAATAATAAGTGGTGGTGAGAGGTTCAGAAGTTACGGGACACTCCAAGCAATCAGATCGAATGTTGTGTGACTCATGGAATTCATGGAACACTGTGCTGCATGGTTGTGACCCCAAAAGTCTCTTTTAACATGCCAGCTAAAGGATGAGCTTGTCCCATCATTTTCGAATTGACCCCTAATTGTGTTTCAAGATGAAAATTACATTATTTTTTTTCATATTCTTCTATAAAAATTAATTAATGGTAAATTTCTCAGCCGCTAATAATGATGATGTTACTCATTAATTCCAAAAAGGAAGAAAGGGAAGCTTTTGTGGTGTGAGTGAGATGGAGAGAGAAATAAATTAAATAAATTGGCACTTGAGCTCTCAAGTCTTGGTGAAGAAATGAATGATTATAAATTATTGAATGTTGCATTGTCTGACTTCTTCTTTTCTTCATGCATCATCGCAGATAATCTTGTTGCAGATTCATCAACAATATTTTTTTTCTTAAAAATAAAATGAAATTAATTTTTTTCTGTTCAATCTCACATTATCTGCATAAATCGTATGTAATATTGACGTCGATGACGGCGATTCTTAAAAGTATATACAACAATTGATCAGAAAATTATGAAAAAAAAAACCGTTTTTTTCTCTCCAGAAATTCTCATTGACACAAACACAAAATGAAATTAATTGTACTATTCTGAACTTAATGTATTCATTGCTCATTATTTCTCTTTAACTGACTTCTCCACACGTCAATCTCTCGGTCGGTACGGTCGGGGATGTTGAAATGAAATCGCATTCATGGTGCACATGAACATACAATATCGAATAGCACTTGTCATTAATGCAATTGTAAAA